TGCTCAGGTGCACATGTGTTAATCATTAAACCTGCTCATGTTTGTTTGCTTTTTTAAAATAAGCTGTTGGAAGCTGAACATCAGGTAGCAGAGCTAGAAGGGAAAGTAAAAGAACTGGACGACTGTCTGGCGACGACAAACTCGCAGCTGAAGGAGAAAGACGCATACCTGGAGGAGCAGAAACGCAGGGAGAGGGACCTGCTGACCACCATTACTGAGTATGTGTACTCCTCTCTGTAGGCATGTTATTTCTCCTCGCTCTCAGTGTAAAAAGAAAACATAATAACTGTGCATAATGAGTGCTCTGCGTTTTTATTTTTGTCTTCATTAGTATGCAGCAGCGGGTACAGCAGGGCCTGGAGGATGGAGCCAGACTCCCTTCTCTGGATTTTGAGAAGCTTAGAGGAGAGAACAACAGTTTGAAAGAGGAGCAGCAGAGACTCAAAAAGGTCTGCTTGGTGTGGTCTTACAAGAAGGTTCACCTTTTCTGATCAGGGCAGAACACAAAGACAGGATTCAGCGTGTAAATATCACTGGATAAACTAGAATAACTAAGGACTATTTGTATGTAGGTTTATTAAAACGTAATTTCTATCCCAAAGTAAAGATGCAGAAAGAACCCACTTTGCATTGACCTCAGATGACTCCTGAGCTTAGAGGAAGTTCATGTTCAGATGAGTTAGATTTACAGAGAAGTGTGTATTTCTCTGGGAAATGACTGTATTATGTGGTTTGCAGCATGTTCTCTGCAGTGTGTACCGAATTTGCTGTGCTCATGTGTGCAAGTTAGATCAATAACATGGAAAATATCCAGCACACGCTGGTCGGTAACGCCTCATTGGTGCTTAAGTTGGTGTTGTTTTAATGCTCATTTCTTCTCTTTGCAGGTTATTGAGAAGCAACACAGGATGATGGAACAGCTTGGATCACAGATCCAGGTGTTTGTCTCTTCACAGGGAATCTAAATGAGTGCGTGTTTGCTGTTTCTGTAGCGCGCAACATTTTTAAATCTTTTTTTTTCTTTTGCAGGCTTTGGAGGAGCAGATATCTCAGGAAGAAAGCAGCTCTCAGGCTCTCAGAGAGGAGGTGCTGGCCAAAGAGCAGAACGTGTTAGAGCTCCACACAGCCATGAAGGAGGTGAGCTATATTAACCACCATCTCCAAAAAAGCACCAACTTTCTCAGTTTCTGTTTAATTTAGAAATCAGACCTCTGAGTCCTCAATAAAGCTCGACAGCTCCTAACACCGATGCCGATCATTGTGTTGTAGCTGTCGACCCAGAACCAGGAACTAATGGAGCAGAATTTGACGCTGCAGGAGCAGATGAGCGATCCAGAGCAAAAGTGCACTAACCAGGCTTCCTCTGTCCTGCAGCCAGCTGGGGCTAATCTCACAAAGAGACTGCATGCTGAGATTGCTTCCTGCCTCAGTGACCTGCGCTCACTGTGCAGCATCCTAACCCAGCGAGCCCAGGGACAGGACCCCAACCTGTCCCTGCTCCTTGGCCTCACTTGTAAGCACTACTCGAGTTTTTATTTCTGACCTTCATCTTTTTCACTGTAGTGTTGGATTTGATGTTTAAATTAAATGTAATGGAATGAGATGAACCAATTATTCATTGTTTTTCCAGCACCCCCATCTGTGGC